GTTTGTACTTTTGTAATTATTTGATATTGAAAATTAAATTTCAATTTTGGCGTTAAATTGTAACATGATAAGATATACATACTTGACCAGTGGTTCTTAACCAACGTTCCGTGGATTTGGTATAAGTGTTCCGCCTACATTTTAAAATCAGTGAGGAACAATTTTTAGTTTCCAAAGACGACTTCCAAAACACAAAAGTATAAACGTGTATAACAATATATAGTGTATAGAATCATTTTAGGTTTTTTTGATTTTTTTTGTATACAAAAATGTTATCGTCAACCGTTGTACTGTATGTGCCACTCTGTCAGTATACAATATAATATACATTATTTTATTTTACGGCCGTGTTCCGCAAAAACCTTATAAAATGTTAAGAGTTCCTTCATTAAAAAATGGTTAAGAACCACTGTGCTAGACATATATATATTATGATATATTAATGGAAAGTAACAAATCCAATTTTTTTTTTTTAAATATACCGTGAAGAATTAATACCTTGTTTGTTCTTGAATTTTAAATTTTACACAGGTTTTCTGCTTATTATTATTCTAATCTAATACTTTTATTAAGTAATATCATATGATATGTTATATTGTGTAATAAATAAATAACCTCTTCTTATTTAAGATAATTCTAACCCAAGTAGGGTTCTCACTATGTAGTTCTAATATTGATTTATACTATATCTAAAATACAGATTAATTGGATTATACTACTATGGTAATTAAGCTTTAATTGCTTTGAAATTGTGTAACTACAATGATTTTGATGAGGTTAAAATTATATATTTATTTTTTTAGTTTCATTTTTAATCCTAACTATGTACATAATATATCACATTAAAATGCCATAAATTGGTATTCTTTTTACAGAGTATATTATAATACTGTTTGAAGTAAATGCTGATTTGTAAGTACATGAATGTCAGTAGTCATTTTATGTTGAATTTTTATATATTATACAGAAGTATCTACAAATGTAATTTTGACTAACCTTTGTTTCATGTCAAAAAACCAAAAAAATAGGACTGGTAAAAATATAGGTGTATTCAATATTTTTAACCTAGATCTGCCAATGACCTAACATAYAAAAATACAAACATTGAATTTATTTTTTGAATCTTACTCAATATATTTTTATATTAATTTAAATAGCAATCTAAACAATTATACCTCGTTTCCTGAAAAACATCAAAGAAACTAAATTTCCCTAACTCTGGTTATAACTGAATTATTATAAGTTATTAGTTGTACAAGGTATGTCCTAGATATTTATCRTATGAATCTTGTAATCCGTATTTTAATTTAGTTAAAGTAAATTCAGGAGCCAAGTTACAATAAGTAGGAAACACATATTTTATAGAGCATGTTTTTTGGGATTCATAACTGTTGATTTTGTGTTCGTTTAAATGATATCATGCCCAAAATCAATAAWTATTTGCAATTTTATTTGAATAATATTGTTTAGTGACAATTATAATACACATAATATTACAATTAGATATTTATTGACCTTAAATAACCTTTTATCAGTTTTAACTTTAGAATTTAACCCATTTATCTGTTAAAAGTGTTTATTCTTTACAAATGAATGTATTTTAGTAATTGAGTAGGATTAATTATCTTGATGTTTGTTTAGTCATAAAAGTAATTATTATCTACTTAATTAATATTACAAAAAAAAAAKATGTTTTAGCATTGATTTTAATAAAAATAGGTATTGTATAAATGTAAAAAATGTTTAAACTTCAAACTGTAATTTGACTAGGCCCCAGCCAAACATTAAAATAATCTATTTATTCAAAAGTGAATTCTTTGAGTATTGACAACAATCATATTTAATGTAGGTATTCTGTCGAAACTTGAGTGATAATTTCCGTTTATGTTGGATCTGTTCCAAGGTTATGAATGTAAGAGTTAAAATTACCTACATATACCTACTTAAACATAATTTATAAAACAATGGTTATTTTTAAATGCAACCGTAGCTAATTCTTGTATTTGGCTATATATTTTTTTTTTCATGAATATAATTATTAAATACTTAGTTAAGAGGACGTTATACCTGCTGTATTGTCTCTGTGATAATAGCCCTTGATAATAATGTTACCTTTAATTTTTATAAGAGGGCAATTCACTCTAAATTTTAAACTCGTGGAGCTAAAAATGATCTACTGAGCGTAAAATTTGATATGTTACTCACTTGTAAGACGGAGATAATACATGGGGGTAAAACATCCTAAAAAAAATTATTATACATTTATCACATAGGACCTTAATTATAGGATCATAATGGTTTTTATTATAAATGATATAAAACAAATTAATATGGTACTTAGTGTTGACAATATGTTATAAACAGTAATTTGGTATACTAATATTCTTGTTTATAATTAAATGCCAGTGAAATATTTTTTCCCTATAATACATTTGTATATTATGATAATTTAATGAAACCATGTAATTGTGTTACTTGTGGTACCTATGTCAACTATAATTAACCAAATTAAATTTTTTGTTTTTATTTCCGAGAAGTTATGTGTATGAAAACAACTAATACAAWATATGTATATTCTTATAACCAGTATTAATCAATAATTAACCATAATGAACAAATATTGAACTTAGTATGAATAATTTATTTGTCTTTTGGTTTATAGCCTATTGACGTGGGTATACTTTGTTACCATGACAGGTGGGTAGTTATGTTTTTATTAGGTCATGGACATATTGCCAAAAAAAAAAAAAAAATCTGTGTAAACTTAAGTTGTATATTAGTTAGGTATGGAATTCGCATTGCTAGTACATCTAGTATGTTATGTGATAAAAATATCTAGTTCAAGGTAAACTTAGTGACACTTCATTAAAATTTGCTCTTTTTTCATATTCCWACAAATGTATATAATGAATAATGATAATAGACTATTGTGCACATTATATAGGTATATGATACTTTTTGAAGGTGTTGTTGGTGACTTCATCCAGTAGACCTGAACAATGGATTGTACCTGGTGGTGGTATTGAACCTGAAGAAGAACCAAGTGCTACTGCTCTCAGAGAAGTAGTCGAAGAAGCTGGTGTTGTGGGCAGATTACACAGAAGACTTGGCACATTTGAAGATAGGGTTAGTATGATTTATTTTTAAATAGTTAACTGCCTATTGGTCCATGTCTAATATTTGATTTACTGTTTTTAGACTCATATCAGAAGGCATAGAACAGATGTGTTTGTTATGATAGTAACAGAAGAAYTAGCTGAATGGGAAGACTCTTTGGGCATAGGTGAGATTTCCTTAAATATAAAATGAAGTTGAGGTGCATTAAATGTTGATATTTTTATAAAATATTTAATAATATAAATTATCATTGGTAAATTTTGATGCTCATTATATTGAGTACTTATAAACTATAAATTACACAAACTGTTGGTTTTAATATTTTAAGCCCAATAGAAATTTAATTTATAAGCTTTTATTTTTTTGAACTTATATAACTTTATCCAATAGTCTAGAGTTCTTAACTTGAGTCATGATGTGTATTTAGAAAATACATTTAGTGTCATACTTGAAACAAAAAACGTAAGCAAACATAATACCAAGATAATATACACATTAAATAAGGCAGTGATAAACCATCAACAAATCATAGTTTACAAGGTAAATTGCTTAATATGTTGTTTTCATTTCAGTTTAAGATTACAACTTAATTATTACAATGATTTCATACTTAATTGGTTTCTCATTTAGGTTACCTAATCCTTTAAAAAAAATCTCTTAGTAATAAAACTATGTTGAGTACTGTATTAATTACTGTAACATTGCAGCAGTGCAGCACTATTGTACTGCAATATACAATTTTCGTGATATGATGGGGTCCTCAAAGAAACCATACTACACATAAYTCAATTTATTAGATAATATATGTATAATTGTATTTTCATCTAAAATAATATGCCACACTTAAATAGGTTGTTTTTTAACAGAGATGAATACCTATTTATTTTTTAAAGCATTTTTCTATCAGTTGTTTTAGATTATTGTTTATTTTGATATTATTTAAAAATTTGTTTATGTAATGTTTAGTATTTCAATGAGTTTGTTCTTGCAAATTCCTTTTCATATTTCTACCAGTAACTTGTCTTCGACTTGAAAGCTTACATTGCTATACAGCTGTCAGTTACTCTTCAACTGATATTAATTATTTGAGTTGTAAAGTGCACAAATTGACTATTATAGGTTTAAGTGACTGAAACATAGAACAGAATTAAGTGTAATTGGATTATTATTTTGAGTTTATAGAATCTAAAATAGTATTTTATATTATAAACTGACAGTAAAATACAGTTTAATAACTTTCATTAATTAATATTATAGACAACCACTTGAAACACTGACTGTATATACTTGAACGGTTGACAAAAATATTTGATGTATATTAATAATATTTACTATTATATTTTAAATATTATGTTCAAATTTTATAGGTTTGATAATAAGATAAAAATATCCCAACACAATAATAGTAAATGGTTTATCATGGACACACAAGCACATTGAACTATGTTCCCTTCATTCTTGTTATTGATATCTGTTTATTTGTATGGTGGCTGGACAGGTTATTGTAAACACAATAACAACTGAGTAATAGGTTATAGATAGGTATCTATAGTAGAATTTTAATTTCATGGTGAAGTGACCTTGGAGTTCAATAAATTATCAACAAGCTGGAAAAATGTATACCCACATTGATATTATGTTTTGTTTTTGTTATTGTGTACTACAAATATGATGTTTACAATGTTTGGAAATTCAATACCTTAGCTGATTAGCATATTATTATATAGTGCAGAAACTTCTTTTAAAGTTTCTACTGCTGTCTTATCTTAAATTACTTATACAGACATATTTTTTGTACTGGAAAAAAATTAAAGAAAAAGTGAACATAAATAAAAATAAAAACATTTAAAACTTTAAAAGTTATTATGCCAAAAGACAGTTGCAAATTATTATTTATCTAACTAATAACTATATTGTAATTTTAGTGCCCCTTATGTAATAACTAATAACTAATAAGTAGAGTTCGGATTTGAATGTATTAGCATATATATTTTGAATGATCGTATAATATGATAAGTGTGCACAAAATTTGTTCSATATTTTGACATTTGCCATTATTTTTTTTTTTAAGGACTTATTTTATGAATTTAACTGCATATTTCATTTTTTTGTTTTAGAATTTTTTTTAATAACAACTATTGTAACATAGAAAAAAATAAATATATTATGAAATTTTGATTGATATCTAAGCTTTAAAATTATTATTAGTTTTTTTTTGAATTAATGTTCATACCATTTTTTTTCTGTCAAAAAACTTTAAAATGTAGTACAAAGTTCCACTTAAGTAGTTGTAAGTGAAATTTAAAAAAAAAAGCTTAGCATAAGTCCATAATATTGATTACGAGTGTCTGMATTTTGAATTGATACCAAAATATCACAAAATTTGCAAATTATTTTGAKTTAGAAATTTATAAAAACTTTTCTTTTTTAATCTAAGATTTGAAAAATTAATATAAGATTTCTCATTAGCCTACCTTTATACATACAAGTCTACTGGAAAGTTAAATTAAATTTTTAGGAGTGTTTGAACTAAACAATTTTACAATGTTGAATATTCACTAGTTTACTATGAAATGATTTTCCTATTTTGTTGAAATTCAAAAATGATTTTTGAACAAAAAATAGTAGATACTTAAAATTTACACCAAATGTTTATTTTAACTTTTAAGTATTTTAAGTTGCTTATAGATATTTTCAGTTTTCTGTATTTTTCTTCTTCTGTTAATGTTATTAAAATTTTGTCTCTAAGGTTAAAATTCTTGAAAATTGTACATAAAGTCCAATTATGTTATTACTACAGCAGTTTAAAAATATTAAAAATATATTAGCTCAATTTTTTTTATAGGTATTAAATTTCAAATTTTGACAAATTTCATAAATTATTTTGTAGTTAAAAATGTATACAAAACGTTCAACTTTATAGCTAAGGATTAAAAAATGAAAACAAAGTTCCATGTAACTTGTAACTATAGTATCTAAAAAATTTGTAAACATTGTTTATTTGTAGTTATTTTAAGTTAAAAATTTGATGAAATTACACATTTAATAACCTAGTATAATGATATAGTTATATTGTTGTATTATCTTATGGATACATTTATTCATAACTACAATTTTTTTTGGTATTAGTAATAGGTAAATTTAGTTTGTTTATAAGCTTAAACTTAATGTTATAGTTTTGTTTTTTTGTTAAGGTCGAAAACGCAAATGGTTTAAATTGGAAGATGCACTGAATATGCTACGTTTACACAAACCTACACAACACACGTACCTGGAAAGTTTTGCTCTCAATAAACAAAAAGCCAACATCTGAAAAAGCCATCCTTTTAATAAATTATTTGCTCCAAATGGAAAAAATACTCCCTAAAATTTTTAGATTAAAAATAATATCAATTTGCTAATAGTTTTTAGTCTTAAGTCAATGAATTCAATTTTATGTTAAATATTAATTAAGTTCATTTACTTTTAGATATAAGGGATAAAGATTTTTTTTTATAATTATTATTATTGTTACTATAATTTTTTTTAACATTGCAGAATCTGTAACGCTTAAAAAACAAACATTAAAAAAATCACTGAACTGAATTATAATTTATAAAACTTTTCTAACTACATGTGTATATACAATATGTTATAATAATATATCTTGTACACACGGCTTCAGTGTTTATGTTACTTACTTACTGTATAAACATTTGACAGACTGCCAATAGCTTAGTGGATTAAACTGCTGAGTTATATTAATTAAACTAGTTAATACATTTTTCAATGTTACAACTATTATTAATTTTTTTTTTTCATTTGTAACCATAATGTTTATAACGTCCGCCCTTAAATTTTTTTGGTTTGAGGGGAAAAAATACATTTGAATAAAAAAAAAATTGTTTATTTAATTCAACCACAATATTTATGATGTCTATACATAATATTATAATTAAAATATTGTAAATAAATATCCTAGTTGGTGTGTATGTGTGTGTCAAGTGAATTTGACAGAATATACCGATTAAAAATCATCCTGTAACAAGTTTCCAGCGAGTTGAACTTTCTCGCCTGGCTTGAAAGCTGGCATACCCAAATATGGACAACTGGCACAGCGGAATGCATCACCCAGATAACACTTAAAACATAATATTGGTTTTAAAATTTGAGGTTAGGTTACATAAAATTGTGGATGTTACATTKTGTCAAAATATGTATAAAGCAATATTTCATCAACATAATAGAATGAGTACAATCATTTTACTTACACTTCCACAAGATGATTTAGCRTTAGAAGTGTCTGGTTTGGGTGTATCTTTGAGACGATTTGCTTCAAGTTCTTCTGCTAATCCACAACTACAGTCTTTGCAAGCTTTAGCCTTTTTGGTAGTAGCACACACTGATGGTTAAGATAAAATTTAAAAATAATAATGATTTATTAATTTTGTGTAGTTTAATTGCATACCTCTGAGCGAGGAAGAATCTGGTTTTTTTAAGTCATCAGCTTCTAATAAATCATCTTCAGATATTGTTTCAGAATTATTATCCTCCAACTTCCACGCAGAAATTACATTTTCTTTCACTTCTGGATTCAATGCGATTTTGTCACTGGATCCAACCTTGAAAAAAAAAGAGCATGCACGGTCAGTTTGATTGTTTGCAATACTGAAATTGAGCATATCTAATTAAGCCATGTGTCTACCTTGTACATTGGCATATTTCCAATGACTACTCCAGGAATAGATTTGTCGATGGTAACATTAAGGAAACCATACAACTTCATATGTTTCACCAGCATGTCCTCAGTCCCTTCTTCGGTTTTTGCGATCAGTGCGCCGCCAGCAGCTAGCAATGCAATATATGTTGGTAGTAATACCAAGTCACACGACACTTTGTCATCAACCCCGAAACCTGACAGGATGGCGTTGTACAATGGCAATTCAGTCGCTAGAAAAACCAACAATTGAATGAATAGTTGAACTATCAATTTGGGTTTGTTCCCTTATCTTTTTGCTATGCTCCCGTCCACAGTTTAAAGTATAAAGCATGTATATSWTAAACTGTGTTTTTGTCCCTTACCAAGGTTAATGTATTCGACTGTGGCGATTTTCATATTGATCCTGTCGGCATAACAAGTAGTGAACTCTTCCAATTTTTTGACGGCTGACGGTTTGCCGACGACAAATAATACGTTTTTACGGTCGGACGTCCCTTGCGCTACGGTCAAATGATTGTCGTCCAACAATTTTAACAGGTCAACTTTGATGTGATGGTTGTCCATGATTGCTAAAAGCCGAATCTGTAAAAACCGATTGTTGAATGATTGGCGATTGCCCAATATTTCGTAATCAAATCAAAATGAGTCTATCTTGTGMTTTAGGAACTCGCGAATGTCGCACTGACTATAAAAATWAAAAAATATTCGGATAAATTAAACACTTCAATGTTCAATAAATTACGAATCACGACGAATCACAAAGTACGAACAAAATTAACTATTTGAGAACATTCGTTATTCAGTCATTGAAAAAAAAAAAACACTTAAATTTAATCTTATTGTTATCACGGTTAATGGTTATTGTAGTGTGACCAATCAGTGATGAATGTGGACACAGATGATGTTATCTTATTGCGGGAATGCGGGATACAATATGAAAATTTGTATAAAATTATTATTGAATTTTTTTTGTTTTTTTAATTATTAATTAATTATTATACGTTTAATCACTGAGCAATGTTGAATAATGAATGTATAATCATTAATCACTTAGTAGGTGAAAAATGTTTATTAATTTTAGATTCGTCTGTCCGTCATATCACTACTGCTGTAGATACTTCGATCACAACTTACTATTAAGACCTAGACTATTGAAAAAAAATCATTGAAAATACAATTTGATCTTTGTTTGAATAGTTATGGCAGTGCTATGTCGTCATCTAATCCCTACAGGAACTAGAGAGTGGCGAGGTGTCATGGTAAATATTTATAAACCATAGGTATGATGTACACCATATATTTCAATATTTTTCCCTTAATATTACTATTATATYATATATTGTACTTATATTTACACAGTCTGAGTCTGTTTGTGAAGAGACCAGGACTGCTAAGCAGACAAAAACTCTTCAATCTCCAGGCAATACAACGGCTGTGCGCCACCTGCTTGGTTTCTTGGTGAACAGAGTATAGCCAGTATAGGTATTTTGTTTTATGCAATTGCTTATTAAAATATATCCAACCAATGCCTCAAAAAATGTCCGTCACCATGATGGCTAGGTTAGAGTTAGCCATATAGCCACTGCGGCTAAAACAGTTCAAGTTGTATAAATGTATATTATATGTTATAATATTAAAGTTTCACAGCTAAACTGTTATGGTTGTTATTAATACACTTTGGTGTATACATATTTTTATAATTATTCAAAGAATAAAATTACAAAATAAATACAAACAACCTTTATCTACTGGCTAAAAAACAGTGACATATTTTATCAAGATAATATCCAAATTTTTGTTTGAAATGATTGTTTTTTTTCTTAGTTTAGAGAATAGGTTTGTTCAAAAATAGGATATAATATATCTATGTCGACAATATTATTGTAAGTCAACTGTATAATAATTGTTTTTTTATATACAAACAACAAACACCATTGTAAATAAATAGTATAAAATATATTGACAACCAAATTTTTGGTATAAAGTATCATAGAATAATATTGTTACACATATTTTAGTAAAAAAGTATAAATTTATAAAAAATAATTCAACATTAAAATCTTAAAAATCACTAACTCATGCTGCAAAGTAAGGAGCAGAACTGAGTGGTCCATACATAACACGTCGAATCGGTGCACTTCTCTTTGTGTTATTTGACAATGTTTCACTAAAAAGTCAAACAAAAAATCAATAATCATTAATAAGAAGGATTTCAATTGATCAATATTATTGAAATAATTACCTGATATTAGAACTCAAAGGTTTCGAGCTCAATTTCCGACCATTGGAGGATGGTTTAGGCTTATTATTGTCCTAAAAAAATAAAGTACATACAGATAAGAATTTTTCAACATTACACTCTATTCTAATAAYTATACCGTTTCAGTAGTGGCTGGAGTCGAAGTTGAAAATTTTTCTACGCTTTTGACATTAGTGTTTTTTGTTACATCAGTTGTTTCAGATAACACACCACAGTTACTAGATGTTTTGGCTACAATCTCACAGTTGTTCAATTTGCTGTTTAACCAATGAATTACTAAAAAAAAAATTGCAAWGCATTTTGTTTCCCTCAAAAATTATAATAATTTAAAGTTTAAAAAATAAATTTACCCTTGTCGTTGCTGGCCAAACGCTCTTCTTTTTCTTTTAAGTTCTGTTCCACGACTGTGAGCCGACTTTTGGTTTCCAGTAATTGAATATTAAGATTTTCAATACAGGAAGTTTTTTCTTCAAGAGATTTAGACAAYTTTTCATTTTCACTCTGATACATATGAATATCCTCTTTTTGTTTCAAAGCAATGTCTTTGCTTAATATAAGCTAAAATCATAATTTTTATATAGTATAAAAATTGTTACTCGATTGCATTGATGAAAAATTTAAAAACCTTCTGTGTCTGTTCCTGATTGGAATCATGTAATTTTTTGATTATTTTATTTGCTTGTTTCAATTCATCGTACATTGATTTCATGTTTACTTCATTGTGTTTCTTTAGGTCTTCATTTTCTTTTAAAACAATTGTTAGCTGTTCCTAAAAAATTATACAATATGTCTATTAATATATAATATCATAGATACACGTTTTTAAAACATAATTTCAAGTTAAAGAAAAATGTATATAAATATATTTAATCCCCCTTAAGTCAAAGATTAAAATAAAATATAAATAATAATATTTCAATCAAACAATTATTAAACTATGTAACAATTATGACATTATACTCTATCCCGTGGGCTGAACAGTATTTGTTCTTCTGCACATCTCCACTTTGCTATAAAAGAATTGGTTTCATTCAGTGACTAATAGTGGATAATAGTTCAAAACAATGTATATATTTAAAAAAAATCAAGGATTAYCCCAATTCTGTGTGGGTTAAAGAAGTAATCTTTGCGACCATAAAAAAGCCTGAGGTTGWGCCACTTATTACAAGACGTTTTTAGAACAGCCTTATAAGTTTGTTCTCTTTATATAATACTTTTCATATATAATACTTAAATTTATTAAAATCCTTTAAGATTAGGTAATAATATAATATCATCGTTATAATGTCATGTCAATTTTCCGTTAAACGTTTGTTTAAAATTTAAAAACTTAGATTTTTTAAACAATTTAACCCATTAATTTCCATTTGTATGTATTATGTAAAACAAAATAAACATGTTACTTACTTGAAGCTTGTTAGATATATCAAAATAATTATTTTGTTTCTGAAGTAACTTTGTGTTTTGTTTAATTTCCTGAAAAATCATTCAAAATTAGTTTTAATGTACAATGTTACTTAGACTAAATACTAACATTTTCTAAAGATAAGATATGATTTTGCATTCTTTCAATGATTTTTTTCTTAATATCTCTGTCTGATATTAAGTTATCATTACTATTTATTAGGGATGTAGTTTCTTCAATTAAAGTCTTATTTTTGGATTCCAACGTTTTTATGCGAATTGACATTTCACTAAAATAAATGATATCCTTTTGATATTATTTATTATTATTTATAAATATAAATTTACCTTATCTGTTCAGATTTATTTTCTGATTGAGTTAAAAGACTTTGAATTTCTTTATTTTGAGATTTAATAGTCGCCTGAAGAGAAGTACTTAGTCTTTCTTGTTGTGCAATCATTTCTTCGTGCATTTCACGCAGTTGTTTCATTCGTTCAGCATCCAGCTAATTCAATGAACAAAACATATTTAACTAAATATAAACAAAATATTTWWAAAAAAAACACAAAAACTTTATTTAATAAGTAATTAATTATGAAATTACTTTTTCATATTTTTCTTTCCATTGGTCTATAACTTGTTCTTGTTTGGCAGTTAGATTAATTTTTTCATGGTTCATAGATGATTGAAATTTTTCCAACTCATTATTTTTGTTTGCTAATTCATTATGGAGTTTTAAGAGTTCTCGTTTCAAGTTATCAGTTTCTTTATCTTTTAATTCAATTACATTCTAAGATAAAAATTAATTAGTTCCTTACTCTAATTAAATAAAAAGTTAATTTACTTTAATTGATGTCATTTTTTTACATATATTTTTTGCTACATCAGAATCAGATGCTTTAGACATTTCAATGGCCAAATGACAGAGGTTCTTAAATTCATTTAGTTCAATTATTTTCAATACATACTTTGGGCCTTTATACATTTTATTTCCCATGCATTCATCTTGAATYAACAGTTTAAATCTAATGAATGAACAAAAGAAAGAAATTGTTAGTTTATTTTTRTGACAAAACAAATATGTATTTTAGAAGACAATAGTCTAGGATAGTATAACATATTTGAATAATAATATATACGATTATTAAAAATGTAAAAACTTCTTACTTAGGACAATCATTGCCAGTTGCATCTGAGTTATTTAAAAGTTGTATTATTTGATTTGGAAAACCATCAAAGCTGACAACTAAGTCTTGTGACTCTTTGATAGTTCTAAAGCTCTCTTCGGTAACATTTGACGTGATGTAGAAAAGTGGATCATTTTCATCAGAAGCAGATATAAATATAGTCTGAAAGTGTWGGACACATAAATATTTTTATTTTTTTACAACRGTGGTTTCAAAATTAAAAAACTAAGTAAATGTTAGGWATCTTAGTTCAACATAATTATATTTAATTTAAATAAAATTAAAATTATATTTTGTACGATCAATCAAATTATACTTCAGAATATAAGAACTAAATAAAATTCCAATTCTCTAGAAAGAAAACTTGATTAGTTTTAATGGAAATGTAAACATAATTTTAATTTGTTATGTAGTAAATATAATAAGTGTAATAGTATTATCCATTGCAGTTAACGAAAATTACACTGCAAACAACTATCTACTGTAAGCAGTAATTTGTACAAAGTGCATCTACTGGTGTTATGCACAAACATTTATAAATAAATTCAACTGGTCTGCAAGTATTACGAAAAATTAAACTGTTTTGTCACCAGCTCACTGGGTGCCTTACATCCTTACTTTTTCATTGTTTTGAAAAATTTGTTCCACCGTAATGACAATGTCTAGAGCAACATTTTCGTTGTGCCATGAATCTTTCACATAAACGTTTTTTAATTT